TCTCTCTCTCTCTCTCTCTCTCTCTCTCTCTCTCTCTCTCTCTCTCTCTCTCTCTCTCTCTCTCTCTCTCTCTCTCTCTCTCTCTCTCCTTCCTGGAGGCTCCACCTATTGATGGGGATCTGCACCTGCTGGAAACCGGGTCGAGCGTCTCCTTATTATTGTAGTACAATGGCACAATGTTGCAGATGTTGTTCTTAAACCGCTAGTACACGGGCCCAGCCTAGCAGAAAGTTTTTGTCGACACAAGCAAAACTCGGAGGCGCCCCCTCGGCCAGGCACGCCGTTGAAAAAAAAGAAAGATCGGTGCCCTCCGAAGTGGTGCGGGTTTCATGCTGACACCCACGGGCTGATATGTGGTGTAATGGTGCTTTAAGGTAGAGGGATTGTGTGCGGGGACACGGGAGACTGCCTCTCTCTCACGGTCTCACCATATCTTTGCCTCATCTAATCTATGCATCTGTGTCTATGTCGTTCTGTTTGTCGGTCCATAACAACTGTTCTTCTTCGGGACTGATGATGTGTTTGTGCATTTGTGCAGCTGGATCTGAGTTACAATGAGGTTTCCTTAGCAAGTGCTGAGATGCTCTTGGCAGTTCTGGAGGAGAAGGTACGCTACCGAGTACCTACCTACCCTTTGTCTTCTTTCTTGCGATTGTATTACTCAATTCTTTCGAACGAGATCCCGGTTCTTTGTCATTTCCTGTAAGGAGAGAAATGGCACATAGAGTTGATTTGATTTCGCGTCGTAGCAAAGACCAGCTGTCATTGACTGGAAGCTGTGGATCATCACCCTACCTTCTTCCCCCCCTGGTTATAAATGTATTCAATCTTATCTTTGAATTCCAATACAGTCATGTCAAAGGTGCACTGTGTTCGGGAGAAGACGGTAGTACCAAGGAACTCTGTGAAACTGGCCCCTTTTCACTAAGGAGACGCGCATATGAACATCATGATGATGATGATGATGATGATGATGATGATGATGGTTATTGTGGCGGTGGTGGTTGTCGTAATGGTGACGTGGAGGAGGGGAGAGAGTAGGAGGGGAGAGAGTTGGAGGGGGGGAGAAGGAGTAAGCAAAGACACACATCTGGCACAAAACATTGCGTCTTTTGGATATTAGAGGATATATATCCACGGTACGAAACGATGTTTTGAAGTGAATCTGACTGTAATTGGAGTCGGATACGTAAAGGCAAGTACAAGTGTGAGTTATGGGCTTAGAGAGATCATCAGGGTTTGCATTTTCCTGTCAGGATGTCTGTGGCTCAATGCCTCAGGCTGGTTCAATGCATACTCCCGCTAGGTCTTTTTCAACTCAATCTAACCTTGAATGCGGTCAGATACATTCCAAAAAGTTGTGGTACGAGTCTCGCGGCTCTCGCCACATTTTGTGTCCACCTGCCTGTACCAGTCTCCATCCCTTTCCGTTCTAGGAATATATGGTAATTGCTCTAAAAGACTTTTAAAATTCTAAATGATACTAATCCTGCTGGCTTTTTTTTTTTTCTTCTTTTTCTTTTTTTTTTTTGGAGTGTCTGATCGTATTATGGTACCAAAATCCTCTTGGCACTAGAACTGGGATATTTGAATCATATTTCCTCTTTTTGCTTTTTCAACTTTTTGAACTTTTTTTTGTTTTGGGGGGGGGACCATTTCTTCGTGCGTGGATGTCATGGGCCATCCATGCTAATCAAGCTTCTCTGTCTAGTTCTCCTTCCTGAATATTTCAGCGCCCTCCCCCCCAACCCAAAATCTCTGATGGTGACGTAACCGCGCCCATCTTTCCTGTATGGGCATTTTAAAGCATGCAGATCTCAAAACCTTGTCTACGACCAGCCAGGCAAGTTTTGAGGGGGTAAAGAAAAGTGGGTGGCAGAAAGGAGGACACCTAGCCCATGTGGTCTTGAGGTTGAATGCAACAACACACATGTAACTAACTGTTAATAAACAGGTCAGGAGCTCAAATCTTGACACCGTTGATGGTATCAGATGGGAAATAAAAATAAAAAAAATAATGCCTCTTTCCGAAAAACAAAAAGCGAGGCAGACCGGAGCAGGAGTTAGGGTAGCTTATTATGCGGTAAGCAGGCGAATAGAGCAGGAGTCTTCAAAAAGGGGGAAGAGTCCAACGACTTTATAAAAGCTGACCTGTGTGTCTTAGGCCAGAAGTGACAATCTTGACTACATCCTGTGTGTGGTAGCCTTTTTTCAAACAGGTCCTGTGTTAGCATGGAGCTTTGCTAAAACAGGTCCCTGTGTGTTCTGAGCCTTTTTGCAAACTTGTCCCTGACTCCTCCACTTCTGACAGTACCTGCCCATGAGTGGTAGTGGCCATTGTGTCTTGTAGAAACGTAAGATGCTCTCTGAAATGTTTACCTTCCTCCTGAAGCATAAGGAAAGATCAGGCTGAACCCTGCAAAGCCTTAACAACTGCTGTGGACTTCTTACCTGCTGAAGCTGTGAACTCACCTGCGAAAGCTGTAATGTAAGCTGCAACGTACCTGCTAAAGCTGTAACCAAAGCCTTAACGAGGCTGTAACCCAATCTGTGACCAAAGCTATAGACAAAGCTGTAACCTGAGCTGTGACTTAAGCCTTAACCAAATCTGTAACCCAAACTGTAACCGATGCTGTAACCAAAGGCTTAACCACAGCTGTTAGCACACAAAGCTGTTAGCACAAACTGTACACCAAGCTGTAAGCCAAGCTGTAACCAAAGCTGTAACTGGAAGAGCACACCTACTGAGTTTGTGATGCCTCCCATGGGAAGCATCACTCTCTCTCTCTCTCTCTTGACAACTTTTGACTGTTCTTTGCACTCCTCTCTCTCTCTCTCTCTCTCTCTCTCTCTCTCTCTCTCTCTCTCTCTCTCTCTCTCTCTCTT